TTCCAATCGTGAACATGGTACATGTTTCTATTTGTTTGCATCTTCCTTGATTTCTTTCCTCAGTATTATGTAGTTTTCTGAATACAGGTCTTTTACATCTTTGGTTAGGTTTATTCCTAGATATTTCATTTTTCTTTTTGCTATTTCAAATGGAATTTTTTTTCTTGGTTTCTGCTTCTGCTGTTTCATTGTTGGTGTACAGAAATGCCTTTGATTTCCAGATATTGACTTTGTATCCCGCTGTTTTGCCAAATTCATTTATTATGTCAAGCAGTTTTCGGGTGGGGTCTACAGGATTTTCTATGTACACTATCATGTCATCTGCAAACAGTGACAGTTTTGTTTCCTCCTTTCCAATTTGGATACCTTTTATTTCTTTTTCTTATCTGATCTCTGTGGCTAAAACTTCCACTACTATATTGAATAGAAGTGGTGAAAGTGGACAGCCTTGTCTTGTTCCTGATCTTAGTGGAAAAGATTTTAATTTTTGCCCATTGAGTATGATGTTGGCTGTAGGTCTCTCATATATGGCCTTTATTATGTTGAAGAATGCTCACTCTATTCCCACTTTGTTGAGTGTTTTTATCATAAATGGGTGCTGTACCTTATCAAATGCTTTTTCTCCATCTATTGACATGATCGAGTGGTTTTTGTCTTTGCTTTTGTTTATGTGATGTATGACATTTACTGATTTTCGAATATTGTAGCATCCTTGCATCCCTGGAATGAATCCCACTTGGTCATGGTGTATGATCTTTTTAATGTATTGTTGGGTGTGGTTTGCCAGTATTTTGTTGAGGATTTTAGCGTCAATGTTCATCAGTGATATTGGCCTGAAGTTTTCCTTCTTTGTTGTGTCTTTATCTGGTTTTGGAATTAGGATGAGGTTGGCCTCATAAAAAGAGTTTGGGAGTCTCCCATCTTTTTGGATTTTTTTGAATAGTCTGTGAAGGATAGGGGTTAGTTCTTCCTTAAATGCTTTGTAGAATTCTCCTGTGAAACCATCTGGTCCAGGGCTTTTGTGTGTTGGGAGTTTTTTTTGATTACTGCTTCAATTTCTTTTGCTGTTATTGGTTTGTTCAGGCTTTCTGCTTCTTTTTCACTGAGTTTTGGAAGATTATCTTTTTCTAGAAATTTGTCCATTTCACCTAGGCTCTCAAATTTCTTGGCATACAGTTCTTTGTAGTAATTTCTTACAATCCTTTGTATTTCTGTGGTATCTGTTGTAATCTCTCCTCTTTCATTTCTGATTGTGTTTATTTGGGTCTTCTCTCTTGTTTTCTTGATGAGTCTGCTTAAAGGTTTGTTGATTTTGTTTATCTTTTCAAAGAACCAGCTCTTGGATTCATTGATCCTTAGAATTGTGCTTTTAGTCTCTATGTCATTTAATTCTGCTCTGATCTTGGTTATTTCCTTCCTTCTGCTTGCTCTGGGCTGTCTTTGTTGTTGTTCCTCGAGTTCTTGTAGACGCAGGGTTAGGTTGTTTGTTTGAAATGTTTCTAACTTTCTCAGGTGGGCCTGTATAGCTATGAACTTCCCTCTCAGGACTGCCTTGGCTGTGTCCCATAAGTTTTGGGTTGTTGTGACTTCATTTTCATTTGTTTCCAGAAACCTTTTGATTTCTTCCCTAATTTCATTCTTGACCCATTCATTGTTTAATACCATGCTATCTAATCTCCATGATTTTGAGTGTTTTGGGGATTTTTTTTCCTTGGGGTTGGTTTCTAGCTTCAGTCCCTTGTGATCTGAGAAAATGCTTGGTATGATTTCAATTTTCTTGAAATTGTTGAGGCTTGTTTTGTGTCCTATTATGTGGTCTATCTTTGAAAATGTTCCGTGTACATTTGAAAAGAATGTGTATTAGCTTCTTTGGGATGGAGGGCTCTGTATATAACAGTAAAGTCCATTTCATCTAAGGCCTTGTTCAATGCCACAGTATCTTTGTTGATATTTTGTTTGGAAGATCTGTCCATTTTTGATAGTGGGGTGTTAAAATCCCACACTGTAATTGTGTTGCTGTCAATATCTTTCTTGAAGTCCTCTAAAATTTTCTTTATGTATTTGGGTGCTCCTTTGTTGGGTGCATATATATTTACAATATTTATGTCTTTTTGGTGGATTCTTCCCTTGAGTATTATGAAGTGACCTTCTGGATCTCTCTTTATGGACTTTTTTTGGAAGTCTATTTTGTCTGATATGAGTATTGTTACCCTGGCTTTTTTTTTCCTGTCCATTTTGCTTGGAAAATTTGTTTCCCGCCCTTCACTTTCAGCCTGTGCAGGTCTTTTATCCTGAGGTGGGTCTCTTGTAGGCAGGATATATGTGCGTCATTTTTTCTTATCCATTCAGCTGTTCTATGTCTTTTGATTCGAGCATTTAATCCATTTACGTTTAAGGTTATTATTGATAGGTACTTATTCATTGTCTTTTATGTACGTGTGTTCCTCTCCCTCTCTCTCTCTCTCTCTCTCTCTTTTCCTTCCCTTCCTTAAAGCAGTCCCTTTAGAATCTCTTGCAGAGCTGGTTTGGTGGAGGTGTATTCTTTTAGACTTCTTTTGTCTTGGAAGCTTCTTATTTGGCCTTCTATTTGGATTGAGAGCCTTGCTGGGTAAAGTAGCCTTGGTTGCAGACCTCTGGTTCTCATTACTTGGCATATTTCTTGCCATTCTCTTCTGGCTTGGAGTGTTTCCATTGACAAGTCAGCTGTTAGCCTTATTGGGGCTCCCTTGTATGTTACTTCCTGTTTTTCCCTTGCTGCCTTTAATATTCTCTCTTTCTCTTGAATTTTGCCATTTGAATTATGATGTGTCTTGAGGTGGGCCTCTTTGGATTCCTCTTGATTGGGACTCTCTGTGTTTCCTGGATTTGTGTGACTTTTTCTCTCATCAAATTAGGGAAGTTTTCCATCATTACTTTTTCAAATAGGTTTTCTATCCCTTGCTCTTCTTCTTCTCCTTCTGGTATCCCTATTATATGGATATTAGTACGTTTCACATTGTCTTGCATTTCTCTTAATCCCTCTTCATTCTTTCTGAGCCTCTTTTCCTTTTCTTGCTCTTTCTGGGTGTTCTTTTCTACTTTGTCCTCCAATTCGCTAATCCGGTCTTCTGCTTCATCAATCCTGCTATTCATTCCTTCTACTGTGTTCTTCAGTTCAGAAATGGCATTCTTCATTTCCTCTTGGCCCTTGTAGATAGTTTCTATTTCCTTTTTCATGTTGATATAGTTTGCAGTGAGATCACTATAGTTTCCCTGTAGTTTCTGGTAGCTCATTGTGAGTTCATTGAGCTTCCTGATAATCATTGTTTTGATCTCAATATCTGATAGTTGAGTTGCCTCTATTTCATTTAGCATTTTTTCTGAGGCTTCCTCCTTTCCCTTCATTTGGGGATCATTTCTTTGTCTTCTCGTGGTTCGTGAGACTCTTCTTGTTACCCTCTGTTTCTTGATCTGATCTGTTCTGGTTCCCTGTGATTATGGTGTGAACTTCTGTGGTAGAATACCTGTGGGATTCAAAAAATATGGAACACTTCACGAATTTGTGTGTCATCCTTGCACAGGGGCCATGCGGATCTTCTCTGTATCATTCCACTTTTAGTATGTGCTGCCCAAGCGAGCATTTAAGTGGTTTCTTGTTAAACATGTGGTTTCTTTCTCAGCTATAACGAAATCTAGAGCCCGCACATGCACGGAGGGCTCACTCGGAGCCAGGCGTGGTGTCAGGTACACTGCCTCATTTAAACCTCCCCATACACCACACCTTACTCGGCAGAGGCTGTTACAACTGCCATGCGATGGAGGAAGAAACCGACGAAGGAGAGGTTCAGGAGCCTGCCTGAGGTTGAGCGCTGGCTGTGAAGCCAGAGCTCAAATGCACTGTACTGCCCCCTGTTGATAAGCATTCCCAGGGCTCTATGTGGGGGCAGGGGATGCTCAGAGGACACGATTCCCAGGATCCCAGTCTTTCCTGATCAGTGCTCAGTAAGTCGGGTACCCCTTCCCGCCCCTGATACCCGAGAGCTGTCACCTCCACAAGGCGGGGCCAGGGTACACATGTGGGAGGAGAGAGGACGTGGAGGTGGGGCCCTGGACTGAGCCCACTGAGAAACAACACATAACTTTGAAATGTGTACCGAGTATTCAGTTTGCGACGACAATGGTGAATATCCCCTCAGAGGTAAATGAAGCAAGTCTGTGACCTGGTCTTGCTGGTGATGAAGACCCCCCCACACACACACACCACCGAAGGAGGGGCTGGCAAGGTGGAGAGGAGACCTCTCCAGGTCCAAGTGGCCCGGGAGAGGCTGATGGGGGAGTTCGGCCTCACTGCCCTCACCCCACTCCAGCTGCCAAAGTCAAGAGAGCAGAACAGAGCCGGGGGTTCCGGCACCCTGAGTAGCTTGGAGAGTTCCTGGGCTTCCCCTGCCTGGGGGTAGATTATCGTAGTGGGGATATATGACGAGGGGAGGGCATTGGTCCACAAGAATTGCAGGTGGTGTCGGAGACGATGCGTCGGAGAAGGAGACCCTGGCACAGGGAGCAGCGTGGGCTTGGAGGCTGGCAGGGAGGGAGCCCGCAGAGGCGCTGCCTGGGCGGGGAGCAGGAAGGCCGAGGGGCCAGAGCTGGGGGAGGAGCAGTTAGTTCAACAGCTGCTGCCCCCCTGGGAGAGAGTCTGAGAAGGGGAGAAGCGGGGGCAATGAACTCTCCCGTCTCCTCTGATAGGGGTTCCGACGCTTTATTAAGGATTTGCATTTCTGGCAAGGGGATTTCCTGCCAGACCCCCATTACTCTGAGTGGGGCGCCACACGTCCGCACCCGGGTGGAGCCGTGGACTTCGTTCCCGTTACGCCGACCTCACGGCTGAACAAACCAGAGCGCGGAAATGGCACCAGGCACAGAGGCGTCAGAGATGAGTCTCAGATCTCCATTCCCCAGCTCATTCTTCCCTTTGGTTCCCTCCCGGACACGCCACAAAACAAACACGACTCAGGCCTGGCGACTCTCTGGTTCGTGCTGTGTACTTTTATTGGTGACGTTTATCCGGGACTCCGAGCACTCGCAGACACGGAGAGAACGCTGTGAAAAGTGCAGGGAGCTCTTTCCTTACAGTGAGTGGCATTCGTGACCAATTCCAGCAAAGACGTGAGAGCGACAGAAGCGGAAAACATCACGGCCTGCGCGTGGGATCACTGGCCTCCGCAACCTCTGGGCCGGAAGACCCTGGCTGTGCCCCGTGACGTTGAGAGTGGGGTCTTTCCTGCGCTTTTAAAGTCTTTCCCAAATTCCCTATAATGCGTGTAACAAATGAATGTGGTAGGATCGGGGAGAGCCCTCCTTTTCCTTCATGAGGTCATTTTTTTTATTTTAGGTATCCCAGTTCAGGGACTCTGTTTTTAGGGAAGCATTCTGGGAAAAATGCAACACGTTTTTGGTGCACAGATACTCATCTTACTCCCATGGACGATGAGAAATTTTCAACGACCGAAGAGTACCTGCAGAGGAAGGGATGTGCAGTGCAGCGTTCGTCCCAGTTCATCTTCCAGCTTCTCGATCAGTCCACAGACCGCAGGGATCCCAGCAACCAGGGCACACGAAGGCACGTGACCCAGCCCTAACCAATCAGACTGGGTCTGGGGTTTTGCCCCACCCCTTTCCAGATGGGAGGGCACACCTGGGAGTGCTGGGGCCATCAGCTTGCACCTGCGGGGATGTTGTCTGGGAAACGGAGAGACACGGCCTGGTGACGTCATTTTTACCCTCTGGTTCCAGACACAGCTGAAGCACGGATGTACCCCTTAGGTTCTTAGTCACAGGAGGCAATAAATTGCTCTTTCTATATAGGCCAGTTGACTTGATTTTGATATTGCGGTGACGAATGGAGGCCTAATGCAAAGACTATGTGTACAGTCAGGAGAATATTTTACAGCCTGAGACACAGTGAGTGTAGCGGGTGTTGCGCGTGAACACAGTGTGCGGGGAAGTAGCGGGTCTGCAGACAAAGGAGAGCGGGAGAGTGTGGGGGAACCCAGGGGCTGCGGACCCACGGGGGGCGCCCAGGGGCAGCCAATCACAGCCCCGTAGCGCCCGTCAGTGTGTTCACACCCACCCACCCCCGGGAAGCACAGGAAGGAAATCCGATGCCAAAGACAAACCGCTGTCCCCCTTAGAAGGTGGGTGATTTCCACCCTTTTATTTCCTTTCCAGAATTTCAAAAAATTGTATTTCATATCAATGCATTATGACAAGGAAGCAGCTAAAACATAAACAGCAACACAAAACAAAGCAAAACAAAGGAAATAAAACACATTATATAAAAAATAATTAAAACCTTTAAACAAAAGCAAGGCAAAAACCAAAAAACCACCTATTTCTAAGATCCGACGTCCGAAGGAGTGCCCAGATCTTGGGTCTTGGGGGCCACGGGGGTGGAGGAGGTCCCAGAACCAATCTTTGGTGTCAGCCGAGGAAGAAGAGAGCAGACAAGCACAGCATGAGTGGAAGGAGGAACCACACCTTATCAACCACAGTCCCGCCCACAGAGCCACTCAGAAACGGAGCCGGTGCTGTGCTCCCAGAGAGACTGCCCAGCCCGACTCCGGCCCCAGATCTGGGCGATGTTGCAGTGACCCTCACACTGGGCCTCAGCAATTGTGTGCCCAAAACTGTTCACAGAGATGCCGAGAAAACAGTTACTCTGACGACGGACCTGAAAATTCAAAGCATTCAGCATCCCGTGTTGGGTCATCTGCACCCACAGAAGAACTGTCCTTCTGTGGATGGAAATGCGCCCCCTCTCATACACACCCCTGCCTTTGACTCTGAGCAGTATGTTCTTTGGGCCTCTGCCTGAATCCCTGATGACAGAATAGGTATTCTTAGGGATCTCCAATCCACAATTGTTTCCCTCTCACTTTGAAAGGCCTTTGTATTTTGCAGGTGACACCCTCCACGTCAGGGACCCCACTGTCTTGCCATCAGCACTCAGTATAGAGCCCAGAATGAACAGTGATGCAGACTGACTGTGGGACTGAGTGACTGGGGACTGAAGGAGCCGAGTGCCCGAGAGAGCACCCCCCGCCCCACCCGGCCATCGTCACGAAGGAATGGGCAGTGAGTCACAGAGTGGCAATGGATGGGACAGAAGGACCTTCACCACACTCCCTAGCTGACAGTGCCCTGGGGACCCAGCAGGCCCCCCAGCTAGTGAGTCTGCAGGCCTGTCCTCTGCCAACCTTGCCCACCCCCCCACCCTGTCCCCTTTATTGCAACAGAGGCCCCGGGGCTTAGCCTGGCTTTGTGCTCACCTATCACCGGGAGTACTCCTTCCCAATACCATCGCCATTTTTCCTGCAAGAAACAGAAACACCCATCAAGGACAGCTCTCAGGGTCCCAGGGCTGCATGGTGGACAGATCCAGCCTAGCCCTAACGTCAGGCTCCCTGGTCTCGCCATCCTGACTCTACCCCACCTGGCTGGGTGGATGGGCCAGGTGGCAAAAGCTCCCCTGTCATGGTCATCCCAGACATCATGATGGAACACCACAGGCTGGGAGGCGTCAACAGCAGGAAGGTATTTTCCGATGGTTCCAGAGGCTGCAGGGCCTAGACCAAGGGGCCGACCGGTTTGGTTCCTGGTCAGGACTCCCTTCCCGGCTGGCAGACGTCCACCTTTTCGCTGTGGCCTCCCATGGCCTTTTGGTTGGGCTGGCACAGGCTGAGGGAGACCCCTCATGTGCTTCTCCCTTCTCCCATGAGGACATCGGCCCCATAGGGCCCACCGGTATGGCCTCATTCCATCCCGATTACCTCCCCGAAGTGTCATCTCTAAATAGTCACACTCCGTCGGAGAGCTTCAACATATGAATATTATGGGGACACATTTCAGTCCCTGACACTCCCTGTGGTTCAGTGTCCTCTTCTGTACAACTGGGAAAACCCTCTCCCCAGTGCAGGAACCTCAGAGAGCATCCAGGGAGAAACAGAAGGCACAACCAGGTCTGTCAGGACCAGCCCCTCATCTCCAAGAGCCCCACGTCCTCAGGACCATCCATGCAAATTTCACTCACACAGTGGCTTCCTTAACACCCTTCCCAGAACTCCTGGAGTGCCCAGGCACCCCAGTTCCACCTGCCCCACCTCCATCCCCCCCAAAGTTGAGGAAAGGCACAGCCTTACCTTCTGCTTGAGGTGCTCATAGAGCTTGGTGAGTTCTGTCAGCTGTCTCTCCATCTCCTGGGCCTTGGCCCTCAGGTCTTCTGCCAACTCTGTAGTTGTTCCCTCCTTCAGGTCCGTCACATTCCTCATGAGGGCTTGCAAGTCCATGCCAAGGGAGAGGAAGGCCATCCCACTTTTCTGCAAGCGAGTAGTGTGGCTCATCACCATCGCTGTACCTTCAAAGGCCATCTGCACCTGCTTTTTCGTTCTGGACGAGACTCGGCCAGTGGTCAAGAGACGCTCGGCAGCTGCGGCCAGGCGTGGGTAGTTCTTGGCTATCTGATAGGCATTGACATTCTTCTCGATGTTCCTGATGTTTATCCCAAGATTAATGGCACATTTTGCAACATTTTTGGCCAAGTGTTGCTCAGTGTCAGGCACTTGGATGTCGGCCTGAGCTTGGATGTTTTTTTTGTGCAGGTATTCCAAAATGTCGGTGATGGTGCCGGTGGCCCCAGCTGCCGTCCCAATGCCCGTAGCAGCAGCAGAAAGCATCAGGCTCCCTCCAGCTGTTGCTGGAGCGAGGACTAAACCCAGGATGCCCATTATGTTGGAGACGACAGAGACACTGTTGGACACCATGCTGACCTTCGTGAATGTTTTGTGGGCTTTATCCATGTCATCTGCAAGAGCATGGAATTTAGTGATGGCCGCTTCTAGTTCTGCTTTAAAGATGGGAAACTCTTTCAAAAATTCTCTTTCTTCATCAGACAGACCTCTACCTTCTTGCTCCACATCTTTACCCAGAAGAATGTAATCCTTGTCCCTGCAGATGAGTGAAATAAGGAGTTGACTTCAATCTCCCATATGGGAAAGCCAGATTCTTAGGCTCAGGTGGTGTCCGGATGTTCTTGCCACCCCAACTTTGAATCCCCCCCACATCTCCCTAACACCTCCAGTACTTCCGACCTGACCCCAAACAGTCCCAGAGGTCACTGGGGGCCGCTGCTTCCATGAAGAGGAGAAGCACATCAGAGGGGCATCTGGAGGGACACATGGGACACACACAGCCTTGGCCAACGAGATGGAGAAGGGAGGACAGTCCTTGTGGACATTTGCTGTTCAGGGAGACTATGGAACTGGTCCGACAAGAGGTAGCAGGGAAATGCTGAGGCCCTAGTCAAGATCAGGGACCTGGGACTAAAGGAGGGAGAGGTCTGGGCAACGACGTAGGAGAAAGAGGATCCCAGGTGCTGGGCAGAGTTGGGAGTTCTGAGTATGTCCAGGTGAGTCAGAGGAGGGAGGCACCGTATTGTAGAGTGCATCCTCCACTTTGATGGCCTTGACTTTGGCTCCCATGGTGAGTCTTTGCTTCTGTCAGGAGGCGTACCCCCAGAGGGCCCAGAGAAATGCGATCACTAATGTTCTGAATGCCCTCCTTGTCACTTGGCAAGCTTTCCTTGGTCCCTCAAGTAGATGGGATTGGTCTTCATGGAAGAAGTCAGGGACCGAGGAGCCCAGGAACTTCCTCCCCAATATGTCGCAGTAGGAAGTATGACGGGACCATGGCCAGCCTGGCCGAGTGTGTCCTTCACAGGACAGCAGTAACCGGGGGAGAGCAATGCCTATGCCTTTGGGCACTTTCCTCCTACATTCCCTTCAGGGCGAGATCAGGAGGCCGGGTGGGGGCTGGCTCCCTGGCTCAGAGAGGAGTGGCAGAGCTGAAATGAACCCTGGAGGGGGTCTGAGCTGCCTGCTTTTATTTTATTTTCAGGGGAGAGAATGGAAACCTAGAGGGGAAAGGGGCCTCGCCCATAGAACACGGCCCACAGAGTTTGGGCTTGAATGGGGCGCTGGCCCCAGGACCATGAGTACATCCACTGCCCAGGAATCCCTCGCTGGGGCAGATGTATGCAGACACAGCCTTTAGTACCTCTCTCTGCACACACACACTCCCTCAATGGAAAAGGTTGAAAATGAAATCTGTCACCAAGAAACCCTTTAGTGTGAGTGAACGAATGAATGAATGAATGAATATAATCCCATAATCAGTTAATCAGCTGCTGTAAATCGATTTACTGAGCAGAAGGTCACTGGGGATTGCAGTGGGGAAGGAGGCGGGCATGAGGGCGAGGAGGAAGACCCTGCTTTGGAACTGGACCTTGGCGGGTGCCACCATCCAGCCCACCCCCTCACCTCAGCCTTTCCCAGGTGTGTAGGGACCGAGAAACAACAACTGATATGTATTTACAGATACACACAACACCACTTTGCATGAATTCTAGGGTTTTTTCTTTAACGTGGTTGACAGCAAAGGCCAGCTTGGCTTCTTTTGTTTCTTAATTAAACCAAAGGCATCCAGTACAGATGCTCCGGCCCCGGTCCATCCCACATCAGGCAGCCACGCCCTCTGACATAGTGTCAGGTGGCAGCCGGGTTCCACAAGGTAAACACACACCTAAATCACTCCTCGAACGTTCCCTGATTGGCACACTGTGCTGGAGGCTGGTGACACTACGTGTGCTGACCCACGGAGACTGGGCTTCATTCTCGAATGCAGCAATGCCACAGGGCTTTCTTGGCAACTCGTGGGCCAAGAAGACTGAATTCCTGCTTCATGTGCTTCACAGAGGTGAGACGCCCTGAGTGGGACAGTTTATACCCTTAGGGTCCCATTGCTCAATGTCACGTACCTAATTAGATCTTGACTTGCTCTCCAAAATATTTAGTTTACCTTGTGGAATATTTTCCCCCAGGAGAATATGCCTTCCTACGAGGGGGACAGGCCCACGTTGCAACTGATACTTGGGAACACATTAGTTGCATATCATTATAATACCGGAGCATTTCTGCAGAAGCAGCGCTTCTCCGGGGACAAAACCCTCTGAGTGACCTTTGCAAACCAACACCAGCCTCGCTTTCTTACCCTGAATCCTTGCTCATCTTGTCTCTGGGGGAGTCAGGGGTGTCCTCAGGAGTCCAGTGACTTTCTAGTTGGAAACATGAAAACAAGGTCACTGCAGGTATCACAAAACCTTATGAAATTCGCTGGCCATGGTGGGCAGGGGAGATGCCACTTGGTGGGTCACACCGTACTCTTAATCAGGTTTTCATTTAAATTTCAAGTGGTCTATGAAGCAGAGATATTGTCCTGGTGGATCAGCAAAAAATGTGAACTTTAGACCTTTCTCAGGCTCACAAAGTTAGTCACTGGCAGGATGGAGATTTGAACTCGTGGCCAGCCCTGACAACAGCTCCCTGTTCTGTAGCCGACCTCTGGGGCACGTCATCCTTCGGGGGCCCCAAAGCAGCCTCCCCTCCTCTGCTGTGTCCTACCTGTTCTAACTGCAGCCTCAGGCCTGGAGCTAGAGGAAGGTTCCCGTCCACGTCCTCTGTCCTCGCCTCTCTGGGGGTCTCTGATTCGGCAGGAAGGAGACCGTGAGCAGCCGGCTGCAGAGGACAAAGAAAAGTGCGGAGTCTCCAGCTGGTGTGGCTGGCCAGGGTCTAGTCCCGAGCACTGCTGTTCTGCTCTGCTCTGCTCTGAGCAGGAATATATACTGTGAGGGACTGGGAAACCGGGTTCTGGTCACACAATGCAGGCGCGTAAACACCAATGCCTGCAGCACCACCTGTTCTGGGAAAACAGGGCTTTCCGAGAAAGGCCTTCTACTTTTACTTTCCTTTTTGCTTCTTTGTCTAACAGATGTCAGAGGGAGTGGGAAAGGGGGACCACTCAGAGGGCTGTGGGGGGCAGGTGGCCACTGGTCATGCAAGGACGCTGAGGGTGAGCACAACACATGGAGCCTTAGCTTCGATTCCCCGTCTGTGAAATGGGTATTAAAGCAGCTCCGGTGGCAGAGAGGTGTGGTGAGGAGCCGAGAGCCAGCTGCATGGCACTCAGCAATCCCGCAGTGGGCATCTATAAGGACTGTCCTCCCACTGCTGTCCTACCCTCCGAGGTGGTGACACTAAAGCTCAGATGCCTCTTGACTGAATTGTGAAATGCAAAACACTCTGAAAACAGAAACTTTTTTTCATACTTTATTGAGCGGTTAAACTTGACCTGAATGGGTGTGATTTCAATTTTGATGTATCCCACTTAATTCAAATATTCATTGTTTCACTGCAGGAATATTAACCGTGCTTGACTAAGGAGGGCCACTCAGATGTCCCGTAGTGTATAGTGTCTGCACCTGCCCAAAAATCCCTGAAGTCGGAGCCTCTAAAACACATCTGTGTTGGGAACCGCCCTGCCTGGTTTCAGAAGCTGTAACCCCTACATGGCTAAGGCTGAGTAAAGGACCTTGGGACCATAAGCCACTAAGGAGACAAAGCTTATCTCCCTGGCAGGAGAGACACCTCTGCCCCTTTTACTTCACCCTGCCTGGCCCCCAGTGCTTGAGCAGTTAGCCAATGATGGGTAAGATTCCTCAAGGGAGGGACGACCTAAGACAGGTCATTTCCCAAAGTTTTGTAGCCCTTTAGCTAACAGACCCTGACTCAGAATAAGCCTTCATAGTTCTTTGTATGTTATCTATTGTTTAATCCTTACTGCCTGACAATGATTAATGAGCTTTACGTATACACCCTGTATTCCTGTGCACACTGAATCCAATAAAAGCTTGTCAAGGCAAGGGTCGGGGCGCTCTCCTCTTGAAAGTGTGGCCAGGCCACTCCCAGGCGCTCTCCCCTTGAGAGCGTAGCCGTGTCATCCCCTTTTGTTCCACAGGACTCTGTAGTCCGTGTGTGAATTTCATCTCATCCATAATGCCTCGGGCACTGCGGGCCGGTGTCCGAGTCATATCTGGCCACCATGATTTCAGAGACACCACTGTGGTCCCAATGTGCCCATTTTGCAGAGGAGGAATCTGAGACCTCAGGGTGGTCGGTGGCTTGCCGGTGTTCCTGCAGCTGAGGAGCAGCAGAGCCAGTTCTGGACTCCGAGTCTGTGGGGGAGAGCCGATTATGCAGCCAGGGGCTGACACTTTTGTGTGTGTGCAAGCAGAAACCATGTGCCATGGGGTTCACTCAGAGTTACAGGCCAGCAAGTCCCCGTGTTCTCCCTGGCCCGACCTGAGGCCACATGGGGGGCTGCTGCTTTGCAGGAGGTGTGCCTGCTCAGTGGGTCATGGCTTTGCAAGGGGTGGGGGCTAACTGACACCCCCCCCCCCGGCACTGTGAGCAGGAATGACAGGCTGGGCCACGGAGCTAGGATTCACAGGGGCCTTTCTGGCCCTGGCATCGGGCCTCCCACACTTGGGGACCCTCTGAACAGAGACTGTCCTCTCAGTGGAGTCCAGCGTCTCTTTGCTTTTCCCTGCCCAGGTCAGTTAGGGATAGGGCTGCGCTGCCCAGAGAGCATGACTGGCCAAATGGGGCACAGGTGCCCTCTGCCCTGGCATTTGGCAGCTGGAATTCTGCAGGCGGAGTGGAGCAGGAGAGAGGGCACTGAACTTGGCTCCTTGGCCACTGGGTCCCGGGCCCCTGCTCTTTGTCTTAACAACCCTGCAGCACCACTGCACCCACTCCCAGTGGTCTGGAGGGGCTGCATGAGTTTATATCTTCGCATGGTAAAGACCGTCACCCACTCTTGCCATCCTTCTCATTTTTATACACACCAGATGCACCTTTCACGGGCGATTTGAGAGACTCTTGACGGCATGTTCCCCTTCCTTCTCCCTCCTGCATTTAGAAAGAAATGCTTTTGTGATGTGGGGTGGGGGATGGGAACTGCCTCGGGTGGGACACGGGGTGTCTGGGAACAGACCATTCTGTGCCCGATTCCACTGTTCGGTTCCTTTCCCCACACAACCAAGCACATCTCTGGCGCCATGGGGGGCCCTGCCATTTAAGTCAACGCTGCGATGGTGTCAGATGCCGATGGCGAAGGCCTCAGTCCTGCAACATGCACGAACCTCAGACACAGGTCTCAAGTCCTGGTGTCACCACCTGTGAGGTTCTGGTGACCCCGTCCTCGGGTTCGGTGAATTTGCTCGAGTAGCTCAAACAGCGCACAGAACTCAGGGAAACGTCCTACTTCCTGGGTGGCCAGCTCCTCATAAAGAACGTGACTCGGAACAGCAGATGGAAGAGATGCACCAGGCCAGGCATGGGGAGGGGCCTGGAGCCCCCACACCCTCTCCAGGGGCCCTGCTCTCCCACCAGCACCCCCCGCCCCGTGTTCACCAACCAGAAGCTCTCCCAACCCCATCCTTCCCACAAGCACCGCTGATGACGCCAATGACCCTTAGCACCTGAACTCAAACCTCCAGCCCGTCGCCCCTCCCCAGAGGTGGTGAGGGAGGTGCGGGACTGAAATATCCAACCTCTAATCACCTGGTTGGCTCCCCCCGGCAACCAGCCCCCACCCTCGGGTGAGGCAGGAACATTCCAAAAGTCCCCTTGTTAACACAAGACGCCTTTATTGCTGTCATCGCTGAGGAAAGTCTGAGGGTTCAAGACCAAGTATAGCTATTTCTTTTTCTCAACCACAGCATCACGGAATGTTTCCTGCATGGTCTCATCTTGTCCACTGGGTCCTTCTAGAGCCGGGGAGCACAAGGCCAGCTTAGAGCCACGAAGACCGAGGCCCGTGGCCTTGAGCACCTCCCCGGGTGCCGCACCTGACACCCCCGCTAGGTGCTGGGGTCGGGTTAGAAGCTCGGTCTGTGCAGCTCCCAGCTCTCCCACCATGAGAGCACGTCTCGGGAGCCCTCGGTGCACGTCCATGATGCACAAACGAGTGAGCTACTCAACCCACTCCGGTGGCAGCCTGGCCAGGCGTGGGGCGGGCAAGGCATGCACCCTGCTGGGCCACAAGCGACAGACCCAGCAGGAGACGGCGTGGGCAAAAACAGACATCGACCTGAAACCTGTTTCCAGTTCAGTCGTTTTTATCCTGCAGGTCATTGTGTCATAAAATCAACTTCGTGGGTCCCGGCACTTATGAAAGGAGGTGTTGAGGGACAGAATGGAAAGTATCAGAATGCATCATACTTAATAAGGGTATAGCACTGTTTCATGAAAACTACACGCATATGGCCATAACATGTGCCTGTGGGTGTGTGTGTGTGTGTGTGTGGACTGCAGTGTGAAGTGGGTTGTCAACAGGATGTTTGGGGGATCCTGATCTGGCTTGTGGAGCATGGGGAAATCCACAGGTTGTGAGGGGTTCGGCACCCCATCATAGGTCATTGGTCCCTCTCATGCTCTCTCTCCTGTCCCCCAAACTCTGTGCTATTCTTGGGGTGCCAGCCTCATTCAGTCCCCCTGTAGGTGCGGCTTTTTCCAGAACAGAGGGAACACAGCCTCAGGCCCAATCCAACTCCTGTCCTCTGTCTCCTGGATTTTCCCTGTAAGAACGCTTGTCCCTCTGGATCCAGGAAGAAGATTCCTTGGGAAGACCCCTCTGGACTAGCCTGTGACCCTGGCCCACCGGTGGCTGTGGCCAGGGGACTGTGGTTCTTAGCCTCGGTTGCCACATTCCCTCTCTTGTGGCAAAAGCAGCGCCCTGTTTCTGGAAGTCCTGACCAGAACCAGGAGGCTGGAGGGAGGAAGAAATGAGGCCCAAGTAACAAGGGTGGCGCCCTTTCGGACAGGCCGACCAATGAGTGTCCTCTGTGGTGGGCCAGGTGCCAGAGAGCAGGCTGCTGCCTGCTCTGCCCAGGGCCATCTGGACAGCATTTTGCAAAGTGGCTTCTTTCCTGTGCTGCTGACCCTCCGAGGCGTGGGGCAGGGGCGCCTGTGGGTCTGCAGAGCCCAGGCAGGTCCGCCCCCTCTGCGCCAACAGAAGAACCCACTAAGGGGTGTCTGCAAGGCTCTCAGGACTTGGGCTTTGCACGCCTTTTCAAGTTGCCCACAGGGAGTCGGGCCCTCCCGCATCAGAACCTGCCCTCTTGCTCAGCTGGGGGTGGTGTGGTCCCCCCAGAAACTCATTTGCGTATCCAAGGAAAGGCTGGGGTGGCTCTCAGAAGGGTTCTGGTGGCCCAGGGTGGAAAGTCCAGAGGCCACTGGAGCCTCCCTTCCTGTCCTGGCTGTGGGCGTGCCCCTCCCCCGCACGGGTGGGTGGGCAGACAGACTCTCACGGCCAGCTGGGGCCCCACCACCACCGTGACCCCATCACCCCCAGCAGCGTCTTCGGGAGGGAGGAGCCCCAGCCTCAGGACTGTGTGTGGAAGGTGGCGGGTGACCTCCCCTGGCACCGCCAGTGCCCTGGCCACACTGCAAAGCAGGGGAATCCACCGGGTGAGCCGGGGTCCTTTCCGAGGTTCCGGCGGTGCGATCCCTAGATCTAAGGCTCTGTGAACCGGAGATCCCAGGAACTGAAAAGCCTGGATTACTTTGTGCCCTTGACAGCTGCCGAGATCCCAGCCTTGGTCTCTCCCCAGCCCCGTGGACTTGTTTGTTCAGACAACCCCGGGCACCCCAGAAGGCCACCCACAGGAACGTGTTTGCTCTCAGGTGCGGCCCCGCCCCCGCACCGCCTGGTCTAAGGGGAGGGCGAGCTTCTGCCTGGAAA